TTGGCAGGACAGTAGTACCTCCCTGGGTGGTTGCTGTCTACCAACCTTCTACATATGTGGCTGTGTGGTAACAACACTGCACACCACCGAGATGGTCCTGGGTTCGATCCCAGCCATGTCCTAGGACACATGTGTCTCGCAATGTCCCGGGCGAGGAACTGGGTGGACGAATGTAGCTGGGGTGCGTTCTTCACCTGGGAGGAGTTGGTCCTAACCCTGGTTCAAGAACCTGGGTGCAGTGGTTCGCTTCTTTCTTAAAAACTTGGTGGCGCTCGATGTATGCACAAGACTTATTCCTCTAAGAAAAAGGAAGAGTAGATGTAAAATAGAAAGAGACAGGCGCTCTCTTTACAGGCGACGGAAAAGAATAACAGAGCGGCTAAAAGAGGTCAATCTATCTGAAATGCGTAGGGAGACACTGGTCAGAGAAATAGCAAACATCGAACTTAAGCTAAAGGAATCTTATAGGAGTCAGGAATCGCGGGAAGAACTAAAAGCCATAAATGAAATCGAAAGAAACCCAAAATATTTCTTCTCCTATGCCAAATCAAAGTCGAGAACAACGTCCAGTAATTGGGCCCTTACTTAAACAAGATGGGTCCTACACAGATGACAGCAAGGAAATGAGTGAGCTACTCAAGTCCCAATATGACTCAGTTTTTAGCAAGCCACTAACCAGACTGAGAGTCGAAGATCAAAATGAATTTTTTATGAGAGAGCCACAGAATTTGGTTAACACAAGCTTATCTGATGTTATCCTGACGCCAAATGACTTCGAACAGGCGATAAATGACATGCCCATGCACTCTGCCCCAGGGCCAGACTCATGGAACTCCGTATTCATCAAGAACTGCAAGAAGCCCCTATCACGAGCCTTTACCATCCTATGGAGAGGGAGCATGGACACGGGGGTCATCCCACAGTTACTAAAAAAAAACAGACATAGCCCCACTCCACAAAGGGGGCAGTAAAGCAACAGCAAAGAACTACAGACCGATAGCACTAACATCCCATATCATAAAAATCTTTGAAAGAGTCCTAAGAAGCAAGATCACCACCCATCTAGAAACCCATAAGTTACACAACCCAGGGCAACATGGGTTTAGAACAGGTCGCTCCTGTCTGTCTCAACTATTGGATCACTACGACAAGGTCCTAAATGCACTAGAAGACAAAAAGAATGCAGATGTAATATATACAGACTTTGCAAAAGCCTTCGACAAGTGTGACCATGGCGTAATAGCGCACAAAATGCGTGCTAAAGGAATAACAGGAAAAGTCGGTCGATGGATCTATAATTTCCTCACTAACAGAACACAGAGTAGTAGTCAACAGAGTAAAGTCCGAGGCAGGCACGGTGAAAAGCTCTGTTCCACAAGGCACAGTACTCACTCCCATCTTGTTCCTCATCCTCATATATGACATAGACAAGGATGTCAGCCACAGCACCGTGTCTTCCTTTGCAGATGACACCCGAATCTGCATGACAGTGTCTTCCATTGCAGACACTGCAAGGCTCCAGGCGGACATCAACCAAATCTTTCAGTGGGCTGCAGAAAACAACATGAAGTTCAACGATGAGAAATTTCAATTACTCAGATATGGTAAACATGAGGAAATTAAATCTTCATCAGAGTACAAAACAAATTCTGGCCACAAAATAGAGCGAAACACCAACGTCAAAGACCTGGGAGTGATCATGTCGGAGGATCTCGCCTTCAAGGACCATAACATTGTATCGATCGCATCTGCTAGAAAAATGACAGGATGGATAATGAGAACCTTCAAAACGAGGGATGCCAAGCCCATGATGACACTCTTCAGGTCACTTGTTCTATCTAGGCTGGAATATTGCTGCACACTAACAGCACCTTTCAAGGCAGTTGAAATTGCTGACCTAGAAAATGTACAGAGAACCTTCACGGCGCGCATAACGGAGATAAAACACCTCAATTACTGGGAGCGCTTGAGGTTCCTGAACCTGTATTCCCTGGAGCGCAGGCAGTCTTCAAGCTGGCACTGGACAAGCACCTAAAGTCGGTTCCTGATCAGCCGGGCTGTGGCTCGTACGTTGGTTTGCGTGCAGCCAGCAGTAACAGCCTGGTTGATCAGGCTCTGATCCACCAGGAGGCCTGGTCACAGACCGGGCCGCGAGGGCATTGACCCCCGGAACTCTCTCCAGGTAAACTCCAGGTATATTATAATAATAATACATAATATATTATAATAATACAGTGGACCCTCGACCAACGATGGCATCGATTAACGATAAATCCAAGTAGCGATACATTTTCATGCAAAAATTTTGCCTCGACTAGCGCTAAAAAATTCGACCAACACTATTCGTTCTGTCTGAGACGCGTCCACTTCTGGCCAGTGTTTACAAGCCAACCAGCCACTGCAGTCGCTTCCAAGCATACAATCAGAACATTTCATATTATCACAGCCTTTTTAGTGATTGCACCTGCAAAATAAGTCACCATGGGCCCCAAGAAATCTTCTAGTGCTAACCCTACAGCAAAAAGGGCGAGAATTACTATGGATATGAAGAAAGAGATTATTGCTAAGTATGAAAGTGGAGTGCGTGTCTCCGAGCTGGCCAGGTTGTACACAAAACCCCAATCAACCATCGCTACTATTGTGGGCAAGAAAACGGCAATCAAGGAAGCTGTTCTTGCCAAAGGTGCAACTATGTTTTCGAAACTGAGATCGCAAGTACTCGAAGATGTTGAGAGACTGTTATTGGTGTGGATAAACGAAAAACAGATAGCAGGAGATAGCATCTCTCAAGCGATCATATGTGAAAAGGCTAGGAAGTTGCATGACGATTTAATTAAAAAAATGCCAGCAACTAGTGGTGATGTGAGTGAATTTAAGGCCAGCAAAGGTTGGTTTGAGGGATTTAAAGGGAAGGGAAGTAACCCCGGAAAAGGACTTTCCACCTGAAGTCCTAATGGAAGGGGATTCCCCTTCTAAACACTAAGACCATCAACACTCTCCCCTCCTCCCATCCCATCAATCATCACCTGATCTTCAATAAAGGTAAGTGTCACGTAACTGTGCATGTCTTCTTCAGTTTGTGTGTATTAAAATTAATATTTCATGTGGTAAAAACAATTTTTTTTCATACTTTGGGGTGTCCTACACAGATTAATTTGATTTCCATTATTTCTTATGGGGAAAATTAACTTGACTAACGATAATTTTGACTAACGATGAGCTCTCAGGAATGGATTAATAGCGTTAGTCGAGGGTCCACTGTACATCTAATAATAATAATATATGTATAATAATACATGTACATATAATAATAATAATATACTATATAATAATAATTATAATAATAGACTGTTTCAAAAGGCTGTAACTAGATGGAAGTGTTTACCACAACAAAGCTGCCTCCACCTGTTATATAATGACATTTTATTCATTCTAGAGTATATATCAGGTTTCTATGTTATTTATATTGTTTATTATGTCATATTAAATGAATTGTTATAGATAAATAAGCCGTATAGAGAGCCAGGAACGGATTAATTGCATTTCAACTACTGTAATTTAAATGAGGAAAATTGACTCTGCAAACAAGCAAATCCAGATGCGAGCAAGGTCAAGGAATGGATTACACTCGTGAGTGGAGGTTTCACTGTATTTGAAATGTAGGGAAAATCTACATTACTGCAAGATTTATTCTTTTGAGCATTTTATATTAACAATACATGCTGCTCTTATCTGTATTTTTTTGTACCTCTGTATGTATGTTCAAATTATTAAATTATTAAATTATTAAATACATTAACAATGCTGCTGAGGACAACCAGATCTGCATACAGGATGAGAAATGTTAAGTCATCAATAAACCAAACTTGTTTAAGTTGCAAAGTGGCATTAGGAAAGTCATTATGTAAATGTGAAATAGTACAGGGCCAAGGATGCTACCTTGAAGCGCTCTTATACTGATAGGTTGAGATAATAACATTGATGGTCATGTATTGGTGTCTGTCGCTGAGGTAGGACTATGTATGCGAGAGCATGGCCTCTGATTCCATAACATTCATACAAGACTGAGCATAAACTATTATATTCGGTTGTACTTTGGATTACAACCTATTTTCAAATGTGATTCAGCTTTAATATTGGATCTCATTATTATTTCAGTATAAGAGAATGAGTGAAAATGGAAATTACGTTACATTTTTAAGCTAATCAACTAGTTATTAGAAATTATGATTATTTTGGCAAGAAAATGAGTGATTTCTGGAAAAGATGTATCAATTTTGATTTGCTCTTTCAGTTTATGAGGGTGTTTATTAATGCTGTTATGTTAGTTATGATAGTTACTATGTTAATTCACCTTCAGTTTCAAGAAGTGGCCCTCAAACATTTCATGATTTAATGTTATCCTCTTGTACAGAAAGGTTGGGAACCACTTATTAAGACCCCTTCATATATTTATACATTTAATCATATGCTATCAATACAATGTAAATTCATCTTAATACTGTAAAACAACTGAAAGCTAATAGTGGGAATTAACCTTGTAAGCATTTTTGTACACTTCCTGTTCCAAATAACAGTTTTCCTCTACATATTTTGTACTCGACTGATCTTGACTTCATGTCATTTAGCCCCACTATTTTTAAAGTCCACCTCACTCACTGCAACTTGCCATTTTAAGGTCACTATTGCCCTCCATTTAGTATCTTAATCCTCCTGTGACCACTTGTTTCTTGGCTCCTCTATTCACTACTGTTCTTTAAACAATTGTAATTTATTCTGACCACTTTCTGACTTCTTTCCTTTGACTTTCTTACTAACCTTCACCTCCACAATCAAATGAAATGGAAGTGGAAGACTTGTTATTATTATTATTATTATTATTATTATTCAACACAAGTACAGTACTCTATGTCCAATGCACTAAAATAGTCATGTTGCATATTACAAGGTTATTAGTACAGGGTATGAAGTTACAAATATGTACCATAAGGAATAGTTACCTAGTGTAAGAAGCAGGTGGACTGTGACACAAGGATGTGGGATGCCCAGATAACCTAGCACCCCATCCAGGCCTGTGACTGTAGACATGGCTTATGGTCCCTCTGGTTGAAGACAGCTTTGCCAAGTCTTGTATCAACTCTACGCACTCTTGCATGAGTGTATAATTTAATGAGGTAAGAACAAATGCAGTACTTCGTGGGTCCTTTAGCTTGATGCCTTACTGTTAAATGCTTACTGTTCAGCTACCACATGGAGCCACGTCTGCCACCAAGTACTGTACAAAAATGAAAGTAAACAGATTTTTACAGCTTACAAGTGAATACAGTGGACCCCCGCTTAACGATCACCTCCCAATGCTACCAATTATGTAAGTGTATTTATGTAAGTGCGTTTGTACGTGTATGTTTGGGGGTCTGAAATGGACTAATCTACTTCACAATATTCCTTATGGGAACAAATTCGGTCAGTACTGGCACCTGAACATACTTCTGGAATGAAAAAATATCGTTAACTGGGGGTCCACTGTATTTAAAAAAAAAAATTTAATCTAAGCTGCTATTTCTAGTTCAAAATTCTAAGGCAAGACTATCCCTATGTCCCTCCACTATCTCTACATTTACTGTGCATCAGTGATCTTCCTAATACCTCCCAGAAACTTTAACCAATTCTGTTTGGTAATGAGAATTTTTGCTCTCACAAATACAGAACCAATAGTCCTCAACAGGTGTTAATAACAAGCTTGTAAAGTACTATATCTACTTGGATGACAACCATCATCTCTCACAGCAACACCAACCAAACAGAACTATGGCAGCTTCAAATTGGCAAAACCTTTAGCTATAAGAAGATAAGAATATGGATACAGAAGAAACTACTTATACCAATGAGAACTACTAATACCAGTACTGCTCAACATGCCAACATATCCCAAAGCTTCCTAGCATGGGCCAGCAGACCTACTGTAGTGCTTCTGTATCATCTGTTTATTTTCTTGTGTTAACACCTCTGTTCCTCTCTCTCTCCTGCCTATAAAGTGTGCTGCCACATAGTATTATCTATCAAAGAGGCAGGCAAAACATTTTCTAAAATAAAATTAAACTGCTGCTAGTGTGATAAATGGTTTAGAAAACAGACTCTTGTATTCCAATACCACCAACTAAATTACAGTAACTATAACAACCATGAATACACTAGAGCTGTGGTGTAGGTACAGAAGGAAAGGGGGCTATAGCCTCCCCAGATTCAAATTTTAATTTTCAATTAATGGCTAGTTTTTACTATTATAATGCCCAGTGACCAAGAAAGCAAGATAGCTAAAGAAATTTTACATACATGAAAATCATATATTTTTAAAGATGATTTCTTTGATTTTTTCTTCCTCCCTCCCCATATGAAATCCTGGCTGCATTACTGTACTTGATAATGAAGAACCATTAAACAGGCCTCACAGCCATGGATTCAAGTTAGAAATTCAGATTTAGAAAAGATATTGGGAAGTACTGGTCCATACTGGAAGGACCATAACATTGTATCAATCGCATCTGCTAGAAAAATGACAGGATGGATAATGAGAACCTTCAAAACTAGGGAGGCCAAGCCCATGATGACACTCTTCAGGTCACTTGTTCTATCTAGGCTGGAATATTGCTGCACACTAACAGCACCTTTCAAGGCAGGTGAAATTGCCGACCTAGAAAATGTACAGAGAACTTTCACGGCGCGCATAACGGAGATAAAACACCTCAATTATTGGGAGCGCTTGAGGTTCCTAAACCTGTATTCCCTGGAATGCAGGAGGGAGAGATACATGATTATATACACCTGGAAAATCCTAGAGGGACTAGTACCGAACTTGCACACGAAAATCACTCATTACGAAAGCAAAAGACTTGGCAGACGATGCACCATCCCCCCAATGAAAAGCAGGGGTGTCACTAGCACGTTAAGAGACCATACAATAAGTGTCAGGGGCCCGAGACTGTTCAACTGCCTCCCAGCACACATAAGGGGGATTACCAACAGACCCCTGGCAGTCTTCAAGCTGGCACTGGACAAGCACCTAAAGTCAGTTCCGGATCAGCCGGGCTGTGGCTCGTATGTTGGTTTGCGTGCAGCCAGCAGCAACAGCCTGGTTGATCAGGCTCTGATCCACCAGGAGGCCTGGTCTCAGACCGGGCCGCGGGGGCGTTGACCCCCGGAACTCTCTCCAGGTAAACTCCAGGTAACAAGTACAGTGGAACCCTGGTTTTCATACTCCCCAGCTTGCATGTAAAACCAGTTATCCTCCATAAAATGTATTTTTTGTGAATATTTTTGGGTGTCTGGAATGGATTAATTGGATTTACATTATTTCTTGTGGGAAATATCAAAAAATACATTTCACAGAGATGAGCAGAACCAACTTCCAAGTACCATCACTGAGATGGGAACTTTCTCTAGCTTTAATTATAGAATAAATCATCATACCATCAACATTAGCGCTAAACCTTATTTAAATGTAATAAAGTTGGTAGAATTACCGACAATATGTAAAGTAAAAGGACACGTGCAACTAATGTGACATTTATTGTGGCAACGTTTTGCTCTCCAGGAGCTTTATCAAGCCATTAATGGCTTGATAAAGCTCCTGGAGAGCGAAACATTGCCACAATAAATGTCACATTAGTTGCACTTGTGTCCTTTTACTTTACACCTTATTTAAATATAGGTTGGACGAGTATATGAGTGGGACTAAGCGAAGGAGAGACTGCCAATTTCAACAGTTGCTATCGGATTGTGTCCTAATACACAACTTTCCTTGTATGACTCTTAGTCCTGGCTTCATCTCTGTACATGCCTTCCCTTCCTACTACACTGTAAAATGCACGAAACTTCAGAACACCCGTGACAACCTGATTCCTCCTTTTTCTTATTCTCCCTCTTCCCCTTTCCTTCTGGTAATGAATATATTGTGTATAAAGACTTCAGTAAGGCTTTTGACAGGGTCCCACATCAGAGACTATTGAGGAAAATTAAGGCACATGGAATAGGAGAAATTTTTTCCTGGATAGAGGCATGGTTGACAAATAGGCAGCAGAGAGTTTGCATAAATGGAGAGAAATCAGAGTGGGGAAGCATCACGAGCGGTGTTCCACAGGGGTCAGTGATGGGCCCCGTTGTTTACAATCTACATAAATGACATTGATGAGGGCATAAAGAGCAACATAAGCAAGTTTGCCGATGACACCAAAATAGGCCGTCAAATTAATTCTGGCGAGGACATTAGAGTACTCCAGGAAGATCTGAATAGACTGATGCAATGGTCAGAGAAGTGGCAGATGCAGTTTAATATAGACAAATGCAAAGTTCTAAATGTTGGACAGGAAAATAACCATGCCACATATAAACTAAATAATGTAGATCTTAATATTACAGATTGCAAATAAAATTTAGGAGTTCTGGTTAGCAGTAATGTGAAACCAAGACAACAGTGCTTAAGTGTTTGTAATAAAGCTAACAGAATCCTTGGCTTCATATCAAGAAGCATAAATAATAGGAGTCCTCAGGTTGTTCTTCAACTCCATGGTTAGTCTTCATTTACATTATGATGTACAGTTTTGGTCACCGTATTACAGAATGGATATAAATGCTCTGGAAAATATACAAAGGAGGATGACAAAGTTGATCCCATGTATCAGAAATCTTCCCTATGAGGATAGACTAAGGGCCCTGAATCTGCACTCTCTAGAAAGGCATAGAATTAGGGGGGATATGATTGAGGTGTATAAATGGAAGACAGGAATAAATAAAGGGGATGTCAATAACGTGATGAAAATATCTGGCCTAGATAGGACTCGTAGCAACGGTTTTAGGTTGGAAAAATTCAGATTCAGGAAGGATATAGGAAAGTATTTTTTTTTTTTTTATTATCACACCGGCCGATTCCCACCAAGGCAGGGTGGCCCGAAAAAGAAAAACTTTCACCATCATTCACTCCATCACTGTCTTCCCAGAAGGGTGCTTTACACTACAGTTTTTAAACTGCAACATTAACACCCCTCCTTCAGAGTGCAGGCACTGTACTTCCCATCTCCAGGACTCAAGTCCGGCCTGCCGGTTTCCCTGAATCCCTTCATAAATGTTACTTTGCTCACACTCCAACAGCACATCAAGTATTAAAAACCATTTGTCTCCATTCACTCCTATCAAACACGCTCACGCATGCCTGCTGGAAGTCCAAGCCCCTCGCACACAAAACCTCCTTTACCCCCTCCCTCCAACCCTTCCTAGGCCGACCCCTACCCCGCCTTCCTTCCACTACAGACTGATACACTCTTGAAGTCATTCTGTTTCGCTCCATTTCTCTCTACATGTCCGAACCACCTCAACAACCCTTCCTCAGCCCTCTGGACAACAGTTTTGGTAATCCCGCACCTCCTCCTAACTTCCAAACTACGAATTCTCTGCATTATATTCACACCACACATTGCCCTCAGACATGACATCTCCACTGCCTCCAGCCTTCTCCTCGCTGCAACATTCATCACCCACGCTTCACACCCATATAAGAGCGTTGGTAAAACTATACTCTCATACATTCCCCTCTTTGCCTCCAAGGACAAAGTTCTTTGTCTCCACAGACTCCTAAGTGCACCACTCACTGGTAATAGAGTTGTGGATGAGTGGAACAAACTCCAGAGTACAGTTATAGAAGCTAAAACGTTGTGTAGTTTTAAAAATAGGTTAGATAAATACACGAGTGGGTGTGGGTGGGTGTGAGTTGGACCTGATTCACCTGTGCTACTAGGTCAGTTGCCGTGTTCCTTCCTTAAGTGAATGTGATGTGACCTGACTAGGTTGGGGCATTGGCTTAAGCAGGTAGGAGACTTGGACCTGCCTCGTATGGGCCAGTAGGCCTGCTGCAGTGTTCCTTCTTTCTTATGTTCTCTGTGTTCTTGCTCTTACCCTCTGGGAGCACCTAGCTCCCTTGCAGTGCTCCTCTTTCTTAGCATTTTGCTGGCTTCTCCTCCTCCTCACTACCTCCCCCACTACTACTTCCTTCTACCTCCACTACTACTACCACCTCCTGCCTACATATATACCCCTCCTCTCCTTTTCGTTGGTGTGACTTTGTAAATGGTCCAAGTATGGGTTATTTGTATATGATGTCCCTGTGGGACAGAAAGAGGAGATACCATCACAACAAATTCTCCATGACAGATAATGTAGACAAAGCTGTTGAAATATAAAAAAAAAAAAAAAACGATGTTCAAATTCGAACCAACCATGTTATGTATGTACTACTAGTATTAAGTAGTCTGTTAATTAAGCATTAGCTTTAGTCTGCTCGAAATGCCCCGGCAAGGTAGTGGCTTTCTTTGTACTTAGCAAATCAAAACTGTAATTACATATTTTAGGTTATGCAAAGAAATAAAATCCTTAATGATATGCTCCTACCCAGGAAGGATCTAGATTGAAAGCAAGAGATGGGGAGCAGTTTGACAAGTGGGCCACGTTAGTCAGTTTCGTGGAAAAATACAGTATGTATACCTGGAGAATGTTCGGGGGTCAACGCCCCCGTGGCCCCGGTCTGTGACCAGGCCTCATGGTAGATCCGAGCCTAATCAACTAGTGCACAAATAACGACTATAGGAGACAAAGCGACGACGTTTCGGTCCAACTTGGACCATTAACTAGTCACAAAGGCTGTGTGACTAGTTAATAGTTCACGTTGGACCGAAACGTAGTCATAAGTTTCCGTCTCCTAGTCCGGGTTTGTGACTACTGAGGTACAGGTCCACCCAAGTACAATTATCATACACAGTAATATGTGTATATATTGCCCATTTACGGTATTGTGCCTTTTTATTATTTATATACAGCTAAGGACAGCAGGAAAAAACTATAACCCTGAATGGCTTCTTCAGGAGCAAGTGACGTGGTGCAACTCGTCCTTAATAAATGTCCTGAACTGTACATAGCCGTCTTCTCCACACCTCGTCAGTATCATCACAATATTTACTTCCAGCTTAAATAAGTCTTGTGGGCAATATACTTTTATTCTTCGGTGCATAATTACAATTGTTCGATAATTGCTCAAATTCATAACTTCCATTTGTACACTGAAAAAAATAAATGTAAGCGAGAGTTCTTTCAATGGGAAGATTATTAAATAAAAAAAAAAAGCGCTAAGCCACAAGGGCTATACAGTGCTGCTTCAATGGTAAGAACGACAGCCCTGATCAGTGTTTTAATCAAACTATATAAGTCTGGCACTGTCTCCCTTGTTGCACTGCCGAATACTGCCCTAGGGAGGTCAGGTTAGGTCAGGTCACCGCAGATTTAAGTTTTGATTTGTTCAGATTTACAGAAATTTTCTGTTCACACATGTATGGTGATTCAAACATTTCATAATTTGAGCACGAGTCTTTAATTTTGGAAATGCTCATTGTATCCGGGTACACTCAAGCCAAGAGTTAAAACTCATTTTCATATCTTGGCATAACGAAAGTAAACTCGGTATTTAAATCTAGTTGTAGCAAAGAATATTGTTCTTTTTTCTAAGTATTCGTTACAAACAATGAAGTTATGAGATGAAAGTAATTTTGTCATAAGCCATGTAATTGTAACATTACTCTTATGCACGTAACATTCTTTTCCCTTGCAGTTCTGAACTGTGTTCGTTCATGTGGTCCATGCTATGAATGACAAAAATTAGACCTAATTCATTTCATTCAGCTGTGAGAAATCTAGCTTACATACCTAAAGGGTTATATTAAGTAAATCTAGCGTTGCCAGGTTGGCAGTAAAGATACCTAAGTGTTGTACATGTGTTATTCATCTTGTGAGTATTGTATAACATTAATATGATTATCAGGTCTTGTTGCTATGTCTGCCCAACACATTGCTACATAATCAAATCAAAATTATTCCTTTCTTAAATATGAGACACTAAATGTACTGAACTGGCTAGACATTGGGGAGGCCAGATAGTGTTACTAGGGAGGCCACATTTTTACCTACTCTTGTTGCAGTGTCAGTAAGGGGGCAGTAATGCAAACTGTACACATATGAATTTAGTGGGACCTCAAAGCACAAACAAAAAATATGAAACTTGAAATATGCTAGACAATAATATAGGTTGAAAAAGAGGGAGAAAGGGTGGCAGAGGGAGGGAGAAGGAAAGGGGAAGGAGGGGGAAAGGAGGAGACAAGTGTCTCCCTCACTCATTACAGTCGACAATCTTCACTGTCATGACCAATTAAATCTACTACCCCCCAGACACCCTCTTAGCAGCACATACGTCCACTCTACACACTGACTCCGACACTAAAAACAGAGTTTCGATATTAAGTAGTCATTCGCGAGACTGTACAGCGTGTACGTCCCCCATACTAGAGTATGCAGCATCAGTATGGAACCCACAGCACGTCAATAAATTGGAGAATGTGCAAACGTTTGCAACAGAACTCAACCTGAAGACACTCTAGGACAGGAGGGCTAGGGGGTATGTGATAACGACGTACAAAATACAGAGTGAAATTGACAAGGTGAACAGGGGCAGAATGCTTCAGAGACAGGATACAGGAACTAGAAAGCACAACTGAAACTGAAAATTCAGAGGAGTCGCAGGGCTGTCAGGAAGTGGAACAATCTGTAGTTTAGTATAGGCAGGATCCATACACAGGAAAATAGGGATACCTGGAGGATGTTCTGGGGGTCAACGCCCCGCGGCCCTGTCCATGACCAGGCTTCCCGGTGGATCAGAGCCTGATCAACCAGACAGTTACTGCCGGCCGCACGCAAAACATACAAACCACAGCCCGGCTGGTCAGGTACTGACTTTAGGTGCCCGTCTAGCTCCTTCTTGAAGACAACCAGGGGTCTACTGGTAATCCTCCCTTATGTATTCTGGAAGGTAACAGTCTTGGGCTTCTGACGCTTATTGTGTTGTCTAAGCATACTCATGGCGCCTGTTTTCATTGGGAGATGTTGCACCCCTTGCCGAGTCTTGCTTTCATAGGGAGTGATTTCCGTGGGCAGATTTGGGGCTAGTCCCTTTAGGATTTTCCAAGTATGTATTATCTTTCTCAACTGCATTCCAAGAAGTACAGGTCAAGGGGCTTCAACCGTTCCCAGTAATTTAGGTGTTTTATCGTACTTATACATGCAGTGAAAGTGCTCTGTATATTCTCCAGGTCTGCAATTTTGCCTGCCTTGAAAGGGGCCGTCAGTGTACAGCAGTACTCCAGCCTAGAGAGAACAAGCGATCTGAAAAGAATCATCATTGGCTTGGCATTAAGAGTACCACTGACAAGACAGAGGTGGAAATCGAAGACAAATTAGACAGGGATGTTGAGAATTACTTTAGTCTAGGATGGATGAAAGTGGAATCGCGAAAGACTGCAGACGAAAATTCAATATGCAGTGTGGAAAATGTTTTATAATTTTCATAAATTCAACATGTGTAAATACGAATATAATAATTGTGTATTAAGATGTGACGCTGATTTGACCCTTCAAGAAATTGTATGAAGGAGGGTGTGCAGCAGCCACAGAGTGGTACAAGGGAGGGAGGACACCATAGTGAATTAATGTACGAGCACTGGTTTTGATGAAATCGTCTAGTAATCCGACATCATCGAGGCCATAATTAAATGGATCTGCCTCAAACTATAATTAATAAGTACTGGAATGTCCCCTGTTGAAGAATAGGAACAGAATTTGCGGGGCCTCAAGAATTGGATGGTGATAGTGGAAATAATGAAGCATCGCAATGCAACACATCAAGTATGTATGCCAGTAGTCCTTTCATTTAGATTTCTCACGGGCCAGTAGGATTCTATTTGTTAGGTAGGCATTGTTGTGTGATCCAACTACGATATAAATGGTAGGTGGTAATATAAATTTCTTGATTTCTACCCTTTTGTTACACATGTGCCTGGTGCCAATTAGAAAATTCTTACCCTTTTGTTACACATGTGCCTGGTGCCAATTAGAAAATTCTTACCCTGTCTGTCTTAGTGTTCCCATTAATCCTTATTGGAGATCGGTTCCTTTAATTTTCATACAGTCCACACTATTTTATGATTTACCATTATTGGCATTAATGTTAAATATTGTAATTATTAATTTAATGTTTAGTCAAGCTTTTTTGTGAGTGGTAAAGGAGTGGGCATCGAAGGAGTGACAGTCCTGTGACCTACTGTGACTAAGTCCCATTTACCTCGCCCAAATTACTTGCATGTAATAATTCAGGTAATACCCTGTAAACCTCATGCAGGTTATTTTTCACACACAACTTCAAGAGTAGATATAACAATGCCCAAGAGGCCAGAGACTACTAATATTGGTCAAATTAATCTAAACGGTGGGGTCAGGGGCGGGGTCTCTTCCCCGGAAAAAAAAAGTTTACGAGTACTTACACAAGCTCGTATAAACGCCTGTACACGCGCTCTGGTGAAGATGAAAGCGACATTTGTGAGGAGTTTAACTCGAGGCTTACAAGCGACATGAGAACGCAACAAGAGGCTTCAGAGTGACGTGTGAGGAGCTTTAATGAGGCTAAATTTAACAGGGAGTAGTTCCCGATATAGGAATATTGGACAAAACCCAGCAGCAAGTCTTGGAAACCATCTAAACACCGAAGGATGAAGTGCTAAAACAAAGTGAAATGGAACCTGACGTGTAGCTATGGGTACTGCAAGTGTGGGGGGGGTCTCAATATCAACAGGTACTGGGGATGAGGACACTGCCAGAATATGGAAAAATGCTAATGTTCTCATGTTCTAGATTAAAAAAAAGAGACTAGAAACCTTGAACTACATCCCAGCGTCAATGACATATAGTTTCAAAGGTTAGGAAGCAGATTAAACATTTAATGCCACACCTCGTAAGGGAAGGATTTCGATAAAACTATACTTTTTTAACAGTAAAGCTTGCAACTAATTTCCTGTTTTATGACAATAACTCAAGAGATGGAGGGAAAACGTAATGAATAAGGTGCACTTCAATGGCTTGCAGGGCATCCTGTCTCCCAACGGCAAAGTCACACCGACTTCAATAGGTTATCTTAGATTAAATCTACATAATTATGTGTGCATGCCCCCAGAACCATTGTTAAAATAATGTTATGTATGATATACCAACAAAAGAATTAATTACTCGCCATTGTTTTATCCATAAATTTAAAGCACAGGCAAGATTCAAGAAAAAAAGAACCTCTGGATCAGAAGTACCGAAAGACAGAGCTAACTTTATAATAAATACCATTATAATCATGGGGGGAGCGCTAAACCCGTAGGATTTTACAGCGCATGTGGGAGGGCGGGGATGGAAGGTATTCAGGCTCAATTTAGGGAACTAGAGCACAGATCCAATTTCCTAGATCAAGAGCCCCTCACCAACATCAAGGAACATTCCTTGAGGGGTATCATGCAGGAGCAACCAACCACATGTCTATGGTGCATCCAACAAATACTCTTGGATGTCACTACCGCCCAGCTCCGGCTGAGTTATCGGTATCTTTAGGATGTTAAATCACCACCACCAGATGTAGACCAAACGAAATGTAAACTTTGCCAGATGGATAAGTGTCACACCTTGTGTCAATGTACTGGAATGCGATAAAACTCATGAATTCAACGACGACTCGCTCAGAAATGTCAAAGTATATTATCCACAGTGGTATATTACAAAC